TTCTACTCTAAAGATTCTAACAGAAAAGTACTAGAGATTTAGGTAGAATACGCTTCCACGAGCATTACGCTGGTCCATTATGTTTGGCTTAGATCTCAAGGAGATGGATGGCCTCACGCGAACATATAGAAATATGTAATGCGTCTCAAAATCAACAATGTATATTCTAATGACAGATATTAGAATCAAGAAATGATGCGCAAAATTAGTTAGTACATCGTCAGTTTTTAAGTTATAAATAACTGAAAATGAGAATTTTATAAAGTAACATTTCAAAGCATAACTATAGGTATAGAAAAATCACTTCATCATTTCCTAATTAATTTAAAATAAACTTTACAAAATTTCAATTTAAAAAAATTGTTTATTAAATTACGATTATTAATTAATAATTTGAAAACAACCTTTACATATATATATGTACATATATGTATCTTGATGCTCATTTATTGCGAATAAGACAAGATGTGGAAGTTAACGTTCATGTACAGTCGAGGAAAGCGATGTAGAAACTTCCTTAACAGCATTAACATATCAGGATGCTACTCGAGCTGCTATACAGACGACAGAAACCTATCACTAGTAGATTATATTAACTAGCACCAATGAAATTATAAAGGAATCCTCTCTTGCGATTATTTATATTGAACGCAATGTTTTATATTGAAAATTAATTAGAATAAAAAATTGTAATATAAAAATATATCGATGTCATATTCTTTCAGTTAAACGTCAACTTTAACATACAATCGTAGCACATTCAAAATTAATTTTAAACGGAACAAACAAAATGTCGGCATGCATTTGCCGCTTTAAATGATTTATATAATTTACGTCTGTTTGCAATTTGTGATTGAAAAGGAATCGGGATGTACGCGCGCACAAAGCACACAGTTAAGATACATATTGTATGGGCGCGGTGTATAAAGTTACAAGAAATCTAATCTGCAATTTAATAACGCGCATTGTAGATCATCTAAAGTGAGATTAATACGATAAATGTTTCATAGTGGTGATAAGTGGGCTGGAAATACGACACTCTGCGTTTATTTTGTTTTTCGCGGCCTTCCCATTTAGCGCGCAGACCGTTGTGTAAACAAGATTACAGCGCCGCGCTATCATACATGCGTCGCAACTCGAGCTATTAGGCAGTGGCCGGCACCGCTCCGTGTGTTTTGTTTCTCTCGGAACATGGTAGCGGCAAGATCGCATCGCGATTATCGCGCATGTTGCTAACTTGTGCCGCAAATGTATCAAGGCGAAACGTTTGCCTACGTCGAGGTTACGTCCCAAAACATCCCTCCGAGGAAGATTTTACTTACATAATATAGCAAACGTTACATGTGCTATATATATCTCGAGTAAAATTTTCCTCGGAAAGGACGTTTTTGGAATACAGCCCGAGATGGATATCTCACGCGATTCGTTTCACAGGGAAATTATAAACTACCGCTTTGTATTACTTATTATTATTTTGCTAAATTCGAAATTTATCTCGCGTTGCGCTTGGAATTTTTTAACAATTTACACATACTTTATTTAGCACTTTCGGATTTAGAAGTAATATAGACGTATAATTTACATGAACTATCGGATCAAAAAGCTTTTCTATATACGATATTAGAATTATACGTCTATTATCATCGACTTGAGATCTAAAAGTTAAGAAATTTTGTTTCGTAGTACAATTTAAATATTGCGTGGAAGTGACGATTTGACTAATGCAATGTAATTTTTGTTTTCGTTACGCTTTTATATAACTCTGAAATCATTCATGCGATATTATCTCTGAATATACGATATCGCGACAAGTATTAGAGAATGAGAAACATGATTATTTTCTATGAACAGTACAGATACAGCCTTAATTAGCTCCGTATGTTAATCATTAACTTAATATAACTTTGGCGTTATATCAATCGACCATTTGAGATTCGTCTGTTATGCTAATTTACGAAACATCGCGATTAACAGCGAAAGTACTATGCAAAATATTGCGCGATTCTTGTATTCTATATAGTAATCATAATTAACCGCGTTTCCGCGAGTGTACATCGTGTGAGTGCAACTAAGGAATCAGAGAGGAGAAGAAAACCTAAGAGACATCAAGTTACATCAGACTAAGAGATCGAGCGCTGCGCATCGCTCGGTAAGTGACAAATTATATTTTATTTTGAAACAAAACGAATTTATAATATAAAAAAGTTCCGATAGGAACTCAGAAATATATACGGACGACAGATGTAACTTATATATTTTATACAGAATTATGTACAGAAAGTATCCTCCACATTGCCATCGTTTTCTTGATTAATTTTAATAAGCAGATATTGATTAATTTTAATAAGCAGATATTAATTTAACAATATTTAAATTAACATTTAGTTAAACATATTTCATATAAAAAAAATTTAAAGAATGGTCTTTTTATTTTTATATTATATATAAAATAAAATACATGTGAAGAAACCAAAAATGAGAAAACATTTTGTACATAGTAGTAATATAGACCCGGTTCTTACTCTTACCCTTGCCCTTCAACTGCATCTTAACGTTTATACGCGGTGCGGTTCTACCGCACTGAAACGAGTGTTCCTAACCGTACGTGGTACAAATTAATTCTCATCTCAGCCACAGCTGCCAGATACGACGGCTTTCCAGTTTTCACGTAAATCGCAGTACCGTTCTAGGAATTTGGTAATTTAGCTGGGCGGGTATTTTTATTAGATAACAAATTTCTGTAAGCCTGATTTGAATTTGTGCGGTTTTTACTGCATAGCAATTTGCAATTTTCGTTGATGAAGAAAAGAACAGGCGACCGCGGATGATTAGCGAGGGGGGAAACAGAATGTTCATAACTTTGTCTATTTCATCCATCTAGTTTAAATTTCTATTTACTTTCACGCCAAAAGTTTGCAGCGAAGGCTCAAGTGTCGTGTATGAGTTTGCGAAGAGCGACGAAAGCGTAAACGGATTTTCCTTTACCCGACATGACGGCTAAGGACCCGCTATTATTTACAAAAGTTCGCCGTCCCCTTACTTTCCTTTTTTGCCTAAGTCGTGTGCCGCTTTTAACGAAGCGAAGCGTACACGAACTTCGAAGATACACAGCAGATGGTGCTTTTTGCGGAAAGACTTTCCTTTTAATCTTTACATCTAACGCTGTACGAGAATAGTTATTTGTTTCAAATTTAATGGGACACGAATTAATCATATGTAAATGCGTTTGTATTAGATTTACGTGAAATCTTTTTACATGATAACATATAAAAATCAATTGCGAGAATTTTTTAAAGCTATGTATATATTTTTATTTAAATAGAGTCATTCGAAACATTTGTTAAAAATCTAATTAAACAGAATTAAACAATTAATTAAACAGAAACAGGACAAATTAAAAATTATAATTAAAAGTAAAACAAAGCGTTTATTTTGTTTTTATTAACTGACAGAAATATATAAGTTTTATTATATTAGAAAATTAATCGTCTCGTAATTCGTGCCAAATTTATTGAAATGGACTGGACGATTTATTTCTGCCAGTAATATTTTGACAAATCATTGCTCCCTTAGCCAGTTATTATATGACAGTACTCGATGTATGTCTACATCGATCAATATTGATCAGATTACGCTAGACTATTTTTTTTATTGATAGTACGATATTGCGAGATCATATTTTTTTCCTCACTGAATCGTTGCGCCTCTGGAAGCTTCACTAGTACGAAAAGTGGACGATGCGGACGATTCAAAGCGGTGATAAATCTCATGCTACGTGATCGAAAAAAAAAAATCTCGTTTCTACCCGAGAAAAATTTGCCGCGTAATGGATTCCGATCCTTTTGTACGCCGAGATTGTGCGTGTCCTACTCACATCGTGCTCTCTTTTTACATCAAATAGCGAGGTAACGATAGAGAGAAAGGCAGAAACGAGAGAAAACTAGAAATTCGTATATGTGCCCTTACACTCCACAGTTTTCCTTTCCAATATGGCATCATACCAGCATTTTGCGACTTTAGTATAAAAAGAGTGATTTGTTTTTTTTTGCGCAGCTTCAATTACTGCGGTTCTATTTGACGCGCTCGTAGCGTATATGCTATACACGATATTGATTGCTCCGTTTTTCATTGAAGATAATTCACATTCAATAATACAATAGAACTATTCTATTGCGACAGAGGAAACAGACGAGATGGGAAATTATATAGTAGTGTCGGACAAAGGAATGATCGCGATGAATATAATATTAGTTAAATATATGAACGCTCTGCGTTTTTTGCTAGATTACGTAGAAATTAAGCAGTCACTTGTCAAAGACGTCATTTCATTTACGTTGATTTTTTAGGAAATACAAATTAAAACGTGAATAAAAATCACAATTTAATTATTTCTTCGAAAGTGTTGATGGACAAAAGGAAAGAATTAGATGAATCGAATAGTAGAAAATAAAAAAAATCTTATAAAAAGATATAAATTGCAGTCTATTGCAAGAACTGTCGAAACAACGGGAAGATTGAGTAGTTTGAGACTCTTCGATCAGAGTTCTAACGCAATAGCGTAAGTCGACTCTATTCGATGATATCCGAGAAGGATCTTAGAAATCACTTTTCTTCATGTTCTCCACATTCTTGAGAACATTGCGCTGCAAGAAGTGTAT